GAATCAAAATCTCCTAACTGTGACCTGCATGCTAGTTTATTTATTTATTTATTTATTTATTTTTGGTGGAACTGGGCATTGAACTCAGGCCCTTGCACTTGCCAGGCAAGCACGTATTCTATTTAGCCATCTCCCTGACCCCTTGATTTTTTTTTTTTTTTTAATAGTCTTTCTAGGGGCTGGAGAGATAACTCAGAGGCATAAGCACCTACCTGGCAAGCACAAGGACTGGAGTTCCATCCTCAGCCCTATATGCCATGATGTCTCCACCCTGGATGCCTGGGCACACTGTCTCTGCTCCAAAAGCAGGCGCCTACTGTGCGGCCCCGGAACCAGGCATGGTGGCCAGCACTTGGGACGCTGAGCCAGGGAGATCTCTTGGAGTTTGAGACCAGCCTGGGGGCTACAAAGTGAGCACAAGGCCATAAGGGCAGCCCAAACTGCATAGTGAGACCCTGTCTCAAAAAAAAAAAAAAAAAAAAGTCTTTGGTTTGTCTTAGTCTATGCTTGCTGTACAGAAAGGTCACATTCATAGTGAAGAGTTGGTACATGTACACAACACATCTTAGTTCTTTTTTTGGTAGAGCCAGGGATTGAACTCAGGCCTTTGTGCTTGCCAGGGAAGCATTTTTCCACTGAGCCATCTCCCCAGCCTAAAAACTTTATGTATTTTTATTTTATTTTTTTGGTGGAACTGGGGATTGAACTCAGGCCCTTATGCTTGCCAGGGAAGTGCTTATTCTGTTGAGCCATCTCCCCGGCCCCCACAACTTAATTCATTTCCCTTTCCTTCCTTCCACAGTGGATCCCCAGCAGGGGAAGTTTTGTGGTAGCTAACCCATCCATTTGGTATTCAAAGCTTCAAGTCTGCCTGGAGCTGGCTTCCTTCCTCTCATTTCCTTTCTCTCTACAATGCACTAAGTGGGAGTGATGAACAGGCTTGGGTTCAAGTAACTGCTTTGCTATTTCCCAGGTGTGACCTTAGACCCCTTTGGAATGTTTAGCTTCTTTATCTGCAAATGGGCAAATATACAATGGGACACACCACAGCTGTACAAGAATGAGGAAACAGCTTATATTTAAAGTGCTCTCCAAGGGGCAGGGGAGATGGCTTAGTGGAATAAGTGCTTGCCTGGCAAGTGCAGGGGCCTGAGTTCAATCCCCAGGTTTTTTTTTTTTTTGGCGGAACCGGGAATTGAACTTCAGACCCTTGGTCTTGCCAGGCAAGCACTTATTCTATTGAGCCATCTCCCCGGCCCCCTAAATCCCCAGTTCTAAAAAAAAAAAAAAAGTTCTTAAAAAAAAAAGTGATCTCCAAGATAAATGACATGAGGGCTCAGGTTGTGGCTCAGTGGTAGAGTTCTCACCTTGCATCAAGTGTAAGGTCCTGGGATTGATCCCCAGCACACACACAAAGATAAATGATATAGGAAAAAAGTCAGCATGCAGAGGTCTAGATAGTATGCTGCCATACTTAAAGGAAAATAAAAACTTTTCACTCAGGCTGGAATAGAGCTTGGTGGTACAGTGCTTACATGAATGAGGCCCTGGGTTCCATTCCCAGAAGTACGAACATTTTATTTATTACAATACAATCAGTGCACACCTGTAAACCCAGAACTTTGGGAAGCTGAGGCAGGAGGATCATCGTGAGTTCAAGACCACCCTGGGCTACAAAGTGAGCTCAAGGCCAACCTGAACTGCACAGTGAGATACTGTCTCAAAAAGACAAACAAAAATACCAACCAAACAAAACAATGTACATGAAGAATCTGGGTGTGGTAGTACATGCCCAGAATTCCTGCACTAAAGGAAGCTGAGACATGAGGATCCTGTCAAGTTCAAGTCCAGCCTGGACTACATAGCAAGACCCTTTCTCCAAAAAAAAAAAAAAAAAAGAATGCACTAGAAACCACAATACTGAATACTTCAGATGCAAATGGGAAAAAAGGTAGCAATCAGTAAAGGGAGTAAGATACTTTATGATGTTCATTGGATTTAGAGTCATGTGGATATACAGTTCCTCAGTTTTTTTCTGGTACTGGGGATTGAATCCAAGGCCTTTGAATGAGCTACATTCCCAATTATTTTTATTTATTTAATTTTAATTTTAATTTTTTTGCAGAACTGGGGATTAAACTCAGGCCTTTGCACTTGCCAGGGAAGTGCTTATTCTACTGAGCCATCTCCTCGGCCCCTCCCAATCATTTTTAATTTTTAATTTAACTTAATTTTTTTTTTCTCTTTTGAGATGGTCTCATTATGCAGTTCATGCTAGCCTTCAACTCACTTTGTAGCCCTGGCTGGTTCTGGGACTCGCAGTGAGTGATCCATCTGCCTCAGCCTCCTGAGTGCTGATGATCGAGGGGAATGAACCTCCCAACCTGAGAGATGTCTGTGATGAGTTCATGTTCTCTAAAACCGAAGAATGAATTTTAGGAACAACAGAGGTTAAGAGCACAATATTTACTGGGGAAAAGAAAGGGACATCCAAGAGAGGGACAGAAGGGAATCTGAGTGGGTTCCCAGGGAATCTGCCATTTCTAGGGATTTTTTTTTTTTTTTT